GCCAAGGCTGTAGGCTTCCACCCTGAAGAGGGACCCCTCCCAGGCAAGGCAGTGAATAAAAATCTGCAACACCCATGAGGCTCTGAGCCTGGGACAACGGGCCTTCTCCAGAAGGAACGCTGACCATGCCTGCTCAGCCTCCTCTGTGGATGGGTAACGCACACAGCCCCGGGAGCGCTGAGTGAGAGCCACAGGGCCACAGGGCTCCATTCTGCGGATGTGCGTGCTGTGCCTCGCCCTGTCCTCTCCGAATGTGAATTGTGCCCTGAGCAAAGCCTCCTGCCTGAACCCTCGGTTGGTGGGAACCCCTGGCTACTGCTGACCCAGCCAGTTTCCCAAAGGGAACGCCCTGTGGGCATCTCAGTGGCTCCTGCCTCTGCGGCAGCACCACTACCACCCACCACCCACCACCCACCTCGCACCCCACCACTACCCACCCCACACCCAGTAAGAAACGAATAGCCGCGCACACAGGCAGCACGGAGCACAGCCTGCCCCAGAGCCGCCTCCGGAGAGGGAAGCGCACCAAACCTGGAAGGTGCTTGCGCGGCTGCTCCTGTGCCTGCCCTGGGGCGGCCTGCCGGACTCAGGTGCATCTCATGGAGAGTGGGATGGCCGGGCGCAGGGAGTGGAATCAGAGGCTCCAGCTCCTCCCGAAGGGGGTGGGACCGCAGGAGCCTGGGGGCTCAAGTCCTCTCGCAGCTCTGGCCCCACCAGCCTGGCACGGGTCAGCTGCAGGAGGAGGTGTTAAGGAAGGAATCACAAGGCAAATTGCGGAATAAAAAAGCACACTAAAAAAGTAAAAGTTCTGCAAAAGTGACATGAAAAAGTAGTTCCCTGCAGTCAGTTTGGGTTGCCATGGAGCGGCCCTAACAGCCCCAGACCCTCCACCTGCAGCTCACCCTCGGGGCCCGCAGGCCTCCTGCGGCTCCTCGAGGCTCTGCATGGAGCCCGCTCGCTGTCCGCAGCGGGTAAGAAGGGACCTGGTCTCTCCTGCCCGCTCTGTCTGTGCAGACTGGCCTGGCCATGCTCCAGGGCGAGAAGAGGGTCCATCGGAACCCGGAAACTCAGCATCAGCGCGGGTCACAGTGCGGCACTGGCCTGGGCCTCCTCTCTCCGCCGGCTGCCACCTTCTCCTCCCCCCTCACAGGCCGCTCCCACTTCTTCCCCAGAGCTGTCAGCTGCCTGGCTGCATCCCCCCAGGAGCCATCCACTCACCTCCCTGCAGGCCTCACAGGCAGCAGTCTCCCCGGGAGTAAGTAGCCCACAGTTACCCAAGGAAGCGTGAGTTGGACTGTGAGCCAGGCTCTCCTCCCTGCCGTCCTCACTGGGGAGGAGGCCCGAGTGCTCCCCGGCCCCTCCCACAAGCCTGGTCCCCATGTACCCTCCGCGGCCCTCCCTGCAGAAGGCTGGAGATGCGCAGCTTCGCCTGAGGAGGAGCGTGGTAACGCAGCGCCCATCCCGTGGGCAGGGACGTGAACCTGCAAGGCTTTCGTTGAAAACTGCAGGATAACATCACTAACCCCTCCTCGTCTTTCCCCCGGGCAGCAATGGGCCCGTGGAGAGGTTTTCTGAGTTGAAAGGGACTTGGAATAACTGGTCCTAAATATTCCTGAGCAGCGCTCCCCAGGGGAGAAGGCAGCGGTCCCTGAGGCGCTCCCTGCGGCCCAGCTGGTGGATGGCGCAGAATCGCCCAATAGAGCAGTGAGCCCCCCAACGCCGTGCCCGCCCTGCCCACCGATGCTCCACGGTCTGACCAAGAGCTCCCCTGAGCGGCCCGGGGAGAACGGGCATGGAAGGGCATGGGAAGACCTCCCGCTGAGGCATGGCCAGCCTGATCCAGCCCCACCCCCCAGGCTGGTCAGCAGTCGGCCACAGGAGGTGGAGCCTCCGTGCTGGAGGTATGGTCCCTGTTCTCCTGGAGCACTGGAACTACCCACGGGTGCTAGCAGCCACCTCACTCTCCTGGCTCTAGCTGAGCCAGCCTAACCCAGAGAAACCAGCTTATCCTCACAAGCAACTTTTTAGGGAAATGCTAAAAACAACTCTGTACAAATCAGTAGTAGAGCCACTGTATTTGGTAATTCCAGAAAAATAGCTTCCAGAGCATTCTAATCGCACGCGAGCTGGGAGAAGAGAGGCGCAGCCACCACATGGGCCAGGGCTCCCTCCACGTCCCCTGCGCGGGTCCCGCTGCCTGGGCCAGTGCGGATGGCTCTGCGGCAGCACGTCAGGACCCACGTTTGCCTGGCTTACGCATCTCTGAAGTGCATTTGTGGAACTTTCTGCGAGAATACTTCAAAACGATGTCAAGAAACTTTGAACAGGGAGTTAGAGAATCAACTTTCTGCTCACAAGATATTGTCACACAAGTAGGTTTGTATATTTAGGGACCCTTCTCCACGCAGACAAAGCCAGAGAACCGGCACAGGGAAGTCTCACAGCGGAGCCTCGCACTGCCTCCAGCAGTCGGCTATTTCAGGGGTGCCCAATCTTTGAGGTTGCACTGCAGTGAAACACACAGGCCAGAGTCTTCGGGGACAGAACTTGACTCCGAGGGTGAGTGCTCTGCCCCAGGCCCACATCTGAGTAACCATGTCTCCGGACAGCACACGTGACAGCCTGGATCAGGAACGCAGGGCCAGCTGACTCCTGCCTACGTCCGCAGCGCTCAGCAGTGTCAGCACACAGTAGGGACTAGGACAAGGTAAGTGAGTGAATGAATGAATGAATGAATGAATAGGCAGCCTAGGAAACAATTCCTTATGTGCTACCTGAGGACAATTGTGAAAGTACAGGTTCTGCCCAGCCAGGAGGGCCCAGTGGTTGAGCATTGGTCTATGAACCAGGAGATCATGGTTCCATTCCTGGTCAGGGCACATGCCCGTTTCTGGGCTAATGCCCAGTGTTGGGCGTGCAGGGGGCAGCTGATCAATGATTCTCTCTCATTATGGATGTTTCTCTCTCTCCTTCTCCCTTCCTCTCTGAAATCAATAAAATATCTTTCAAGCAAAGCACCTGTCCTGCCCAGGTCAGGATGACCACAGCATCAGGAAGTAGGCTGAGCCCACATTCATTGCAGGGCCCTCCGGGCAGCTTCGTCCTCGCCTTCCTCACCCACTCGGTGGTGGAAACCACACGAGGGGAGCCTTCTCTCACACATCGGGAGCAACGCCCTGGGCTGAGCAGTGCACAGAGACCTCTCCCTGAGCTCCTGGTGGCTGTGGCCACGGCCCTCCCACACTGGGGAGTGGAGGAGGGAGGGGGGACCGCTCTGCACCTGAGAAACAGCGTAAGACATCAAGTTAAAGGTCTTTGTGGGAAGGGACAGAGGCAGGAAGGGGACATGGAGCAGGGAATGGGCTTGGGAACTTGCAGAATGGGGCAGGAGCTGTGGGAGCAGCTTCAGTGCAGGAAGACTGAGTGCAGGGTGGCGGACTGTCAGGGTGAGCTGGCTCAGAAGCATTTTTGCAGCCCAGGCACTGCGCAGGGCGGGCGGGGGCCCCTGCAGGCTCCCACGATCCCACAACAGGAAGCAGAAGCAGGACACCTGGGCCCTGAACCAAAGCCAAAGAGGCCTGAGTTCATCTCCAGCAGGAACGGGCATTGTCTTCTGCACAGGAAGAAGCACTCTGTGATTAAGGCATCGGTAACCACAGGGCAGACAGACCGGGTTGGCGAACACATGGCGTCAGCCCAGCCAATGCGTCCACAGACACTGTCACCGACCAGCAACCAGCTGCCTGGCCTCCCGGCACACCAGATCAGAGGCCCACGCTCTCCCAGAGGCCTCCACTCGCTTCGTGGACCTGACCTGCTGCGCTGTCTCCTAGCAACAGCGCCTATCACCTGGCAACAGCACCCTAATTTCCTCCGGGAACTTCACCCTCACACCTCAGACTCAGCCTTGTCCTCGGACATATGTGTGAGCCAGGCCTGCTCTGCAGACCCTGAGGCCTCGGCCCCAGAGCTCAGAACAGGGATGCTCATGGGCTCAAACCTGGTCCAAAAAGACTTAATCTCAGAACATCAACCAGAACTGCCAGGAAAGGGAGTTTACTTCCCTTCTGGACCCAAGCTCATAGCATGGAAAGCCTGAAGCCACGGGGGAAAGTCCCGCCTCAGGGTGATACCAAGTCAGACATCAAGACCGTGGGAGAGGGCCCTCGAGTCCCTGTGCCGAGTGACACCATGATTCCGTCCTCTGTTCTTGAACTGAGATCTGCCTCTGCACCTCCCAGTACTGTGAGGCACTGCGATCGATTTTAAAAGCTGGCGTGAGTTGGGTTCTGTCACTTGTGACCACACAGCCTGGTTGGCCCCAGCATGGCCTTCCTCAGGGACCACAGGAGCAAGGTCGTGGAAGGTTGCAGGGCCCGCCTGGCCAGGGGCATCAGGCATGCTGCTGAGGCCAGCTCCCCGTACTCCCCACCCCAGGAACATGGAGCCCCGCTCACACAGGCCGCCCAGTGGACGGCGACATTGCAGGGTGGTTACAGGGAGGGGACTCTGCAGAGGGAGACCTTTCCCGTGGAGCTGAGAGCCACCAGTGGGCAGTCCCAGGCACGAGATGGAAAAGTGAGCCCAGCTGCCCACGCGCTCAGCACAGATCTGCACCGCCTGCTCCGCCACTGCCTGAACCCACTTTATTGTCCTGGAGGCCAGGCTCTGCCCTTCCCCCACCTTCCCTCTCCCCAATTCAACCTTCAGAGTCACTTTCTGCCTCCCCCTGGGCTCCAGGACCACAGGACTCTCCCTCCTATCTGCAACTGCAAGGTTTGGCCAGCTGTTGATTCTCCTTCTCCGGTGAAAAGCTCCCACTGGCCTTAGTCTAGTTCCTTAAAAGGGTCTGGACACAAACCTACAATGTTTTAATTCATTTTGCAGCCCTTGATTTCTTCATGTGAAGGCAGACGGGGATTTCTCTGGACATCAGGGCTCCTTGGAGACATGCTGAGCTGGTTTCTGATGGCTGAATAAGAATCTTGTTTTCCTATTATTATCAACTAGAGGCCTGGTACATGAAATTCGTGCACATGGGTGTGTGTCCCTCAGCCCAGCCTGCACCCTAGCCAATCTGGGACCCCTTGCGGGATTTCCGATTGCCAGTTTAGATCTGATCCAAATAGGATGGGGCCTAAACAGGCAGTGGGACATCCCTCTCACAATCCAGGACTACTGGCTTCCAACTGCTCGCCTGCCTACCTTCCTGATTGCACCTAACTGCTTCTGCCTGCCAGTCTGATCACCCCATAACCATTACCCTTCCAGCCTGACTTATGCCTTACTGCTCCCCTGCCAGCCTATTTACCCCTAAATGCCCTCCCCTGAAGGCCTGGTCACCCCTAACTGCCCTTTCCTGCAGACCTGGTCCCTCCCAATTGCCCTCCCCTGCTGGCCATCTTGTGGTGGCCGTCTTATGTCCAGATGGGGGCAGCCATCTTTGACCACATGGAAGCAGGCATCTTGTATGTTGGAGTGATGGTCAGTTTGCATGTTGTTCTTTTATTAGATAGGATTAAATAGGATAGATGCCTGGTGCATGAGTGGGGGCCAGCTGGTTTGCCCTGAGGAGTGCCCCAGATCAGGGTGAGGGTTCTCTTGGGGTGTGGGGCGACCTGGGCAAGGGGGCTGTGGTGGCTTGCAGGCTGGCCATGCCCCCCAGCAACCCAAGTGGAGGCCCTGGCATCTGGGATTTATTTATCTTCTACAATTGAAACTTTGTATCCTGGAGTGGAGGCCAAGACAGGCCAGGGCAGGCGGAAAACTTGGCTTCCTCCATTGTCGGGGAAACCCAAGCCTCCAGCTCTCTCTGTGGCCGCAGCCATCTTGGTTGGGTTAATTTGCATACTCGCTCTTTATTGGCTGGTGGGTGTGGCTTGTGGTTGTAGCAGAGGTACAATAATTTTGAATATCACTCTTTTATTATATAGTATGTCATAAAAATGCCAACATTCTCTCTGTTGGTGTAATATTGGGGGTTAAAATATTAATCAAGAAAAATCTGTATATGTTATTCATATATGTTATGACTATATATTGTGGGCACAGATGCTAAGAAAGTACACATATTTCAAATGTTAAAACCTTATTCTTTTCCAGAGAGCTTGCATTTCAGCCACCATACCAAAGGGGACATTTGGGCACCTTTCTTGGAAAGTGCCAAGATCAAAGAGTGCAGTTTAGAGCCCACTGTTAATAGCAGATGCCCCTCATGGGCACTTTGTCAAAATCTCCTAACATATACCCACTCACTCCTTGGCTCCAGCACTCTCCTGGCTTTCATGCCCAAGAGAAAGCATATTAGAGAAAAAAGACTTTAGTGTTTCCATTAATAAAACAAAACAACTCTGACAAATCCCATAAAGAATTGTTCCCTTTATCAGCTTTCAAGAAATCCTGGGAAATCTGTTAACTTTTAGGAGCTGTTATGTAGTGTTCCCACCACTATAGAAGGGACCAACTATATCATTTCTCTGTCCTTGGAAATTGCCTTTTAAGCAGAACATTTGTGGAACTATTTCTAGTGAGAAGACTTTTGCCAATTCAAGGTATTTCTTTATCTCCTGCCTACACCCCCCAGACAGCTCGTTCCCGGACGCATCCTGACTCCTCTGCCGCAGTCACCAATCCTCAGCCTGCCAGACTCCTCGCCAGGGCCTTTGCGCTGTGCAATGTCTGTCCATACTTGTCACCAGTTCCATCTTCCTAAGGCCTCACAGACTGTACGGGGCAGAAGGCCAGAACCCATATTGCCCAGACTCGGTGCCAGTGTGGCTCTTTTTTTCAGTCTTCCATTGGAAGCAGAAATAGCAGTGGGCTCATTGCCCCAGCAGCGGGTGACGGGGGCCTGGGGCCGGTGGCAAGCAGGAGGCTCTGCAGCAGTGGCTAGAGAGTCTCCTACAAGCCAGGGCTCAGGATGACGGCCAGCGGGGAGTATCAACAGCTCTGTGTCTTCTTCCCTGGCATCTGTTGAGTTCTGGCTGAGGTTGTGGTCTGAAGGCAATGCAAGGCTGTGGGGGAACTCTAGGGTGTCTACACTCCCTGTGAGTGGAACGCTGCTGGGAGGACATGGCAGAGGGCGCACAGAGGAGAGGAAGAAGTCTCAGCAGAATGGAGATTTGGAAAGTCAGCTTCTTCAGAATTCAAACAACAGCGCCCATTCCAATTCCCGGGCCCTCCTCTTTCTCAGTCAGTGTGCTAAATTTTATTTTAAAAACTGGGTAGGCTGTAATGTCAGCCTAAGTCATAATATCACCATCTACAGGATCAAACCATGCCGAGAGGAAGATCTGCACTGATTCATGAGCAGCACCAATGGTTGGCTACCTGGGCAGAGGCTAGAAGGCGATGTCAGGGAAATGGCCAGGAGCCTGAGGAAGAGGAGAGTAATGCACCTGTCAGGGTGAGCAGAGGGTGGAGCTGTCTGCACTCCAAGCAACTTTTCACCTCGGGCACTTACTGCACAGGCGGGCTCAGTAACAGAGCAGAGAGTTAGTCCGTTCTAGACAACCAGCCTCTGTCCCTAGCTGTCCCAGAGCATGCTCGGTGGGCTCCTGGGCAGTGTGGCCAGGACACAGACAGATGCTATGCCTCAGTCAATGGTGTGGAACCCTGCTGGCTGCTATCATCACAAATGCCCCATCTGCCACGTGCAGAGACGGGAGACATGACGTCCTTCCCTAGAGAAGCAGCGGACACCTGGTGGCAGTGGACTTACATTCTGATGGAGGACCAGCACTCTGTCTCCACTAGAATAAGCTCACTCTGGATTTGGACTTGCCTCATTTGTCCCTGATGTTTCTGTTGGACAGTCAACATCTCTGATCTACTGAGTGCCTTTGTTAGAGGCACAATATCCCTTCCATGTAACATTGCTTCTCACAAAAAAAAAAAAAAAAAAAAAGTTCATTTCATCAGAATTCGTGAGACTTGTGCCCTTGACCTTCATAGTTTTTGCCATATTCCCATCAAGCAGGAAGAGCTGACCTTCTGGAAAATCACTGGCCAGTTAGCAACTAAGTATGGCTCTGGCTTAGCAACACCACTGCAGAGTGGGAAGCAGTCACATAAAATGTAGCTCGTGCTGTGACCAGCATCCTGCAGGCGCTCCTGTTCCACAGCCAAATGCAGGTGGGAGACCCAACAGTGATTGCAGGGCAGTCACCCTGCTACTCTGTGACCAGTGTGGAAACCTGTCCTCACGTCTCACAGCCTTGGTGTCTCTGGTGTAGAGGTCTCTGAGCCCAGGGCAGAAATGCTTTCACTGGAAAAACACAACTACTATATTGAACTTTCACTAAGATGGTCACCTGCCCATTTTCAGCTCCTCCTTTCACTCAACCAACAAGCAGAAAAGAGGGTTACTGAAGCTCCTTGAATGATATCTCCTGATTATCACAAAGAAATACAGCTGCTGTTAAGCAATGGGGACAACCCCATTGATGTGGCTCAGTGGTTGAGTGTCTGCCCAGGAACTAGGAGGTTACTGTTCAATTCTCAGTCAGGGCACATGGCTAGGTTGCCAGCTCGATCCCCAGGAGGGGGCATGCGGGAGGCAGCCAATAGATAATTCTCTTTCACCATTGAATTTTGTCTCTCCCTTCCTCGCTCTAAAATTGATAAAATATATTTAAAAACAAACAAGCAAAGTGATTCCATGACAAATGGCAAAAGTTACTCAGGAACACCACCCCGGGTACAACTTCTACAAAAATGAAGATAAAATTCAAGTCATCCCGCAGCTAAAACCTGTGATCAGCCAATGTGCTGTATAAGGTAGAACCAGAGAGCAAAGGGAACTTGTAATGGGTAGCAAAAATAAATAGATTACAAATGCTTAGTATGGTCTTATAACCGATTACAGAAACAGGGTTACAACAGCTATGCAAACCCTTCCTTGTTATTCTCATGTTTGTATATATTAACCAATTATTCCCATCTGCTATTCCTTTACCATTTATTTATGTGATAACATGTAAGTAATGATTTGATCTTTAAGTGGTAAGATACTATCGGGGAATTATGGCTGATAGAGAAGGCCATGAGCATCCCTTAGAGTCAGGCATATGGCTGCTGTGACTTTATTTCCCCTATTTTGTGGCGAGAATAAGAATCATTGTGTTAAGAGAGATGGTTGCATTGATATTGGGTAGAAGTATGTTATGTCTATTACTGTTGCTCTTTGGGGGCTTAAACTTGAAAAGGGGCATGTTGAGGAATCCGGGGACACACAGCAGATCTGTGCTGGGTGCAGTCATGGCATTCACAATGACCTGCCCTGGCCTCCACCCTGAGGGCAAGGCTGATGTCTGAGAAGCACGTTTCCAAAACTCTCTTCCAATGTGGCTCCCATGACACTGCCAAGGAGGGTGCCTTCATGAGCCTGGGAATGCACACTAGAAATAAAGGGCGTAAGTGGTTTTGGATATTTGGCAGCATCAGGTTTGTCATCAATTTCCAGTGACCCTGAGCAGAGAATGTGACTTCCTTATCTCTGGCACTTAGCAAACACTTAGAAAATACTCTTTCAACTAGATGGATTCGTTAGTAAGTAAGTAGGTGAATATATAAAAGGATGGATGGATGGATGGATGGATGGATGGATGGAATGATGAGTAGAAGGATGGATGATGGATGGTGGATAATTGATGATGGGTGATCCATGGATGGGTGATGGATGGGTGGGCAGGTGGATAGGTAGGTGAATTAAAGGATGGATGAAAAGAAGTTAAGGAGATAACATATAGTATACATTAAAGGAATTTGATATCCAATGGAAATTTGGGGGGAGGGGTGGGGCATAGAAGGATCAATTGATAATTTTGGTTTGGTTTTAAAGAAAAATAAGAGAGTATCTAAAGTTAAAAGAACATTTAAAGTTGAAAGAGAAACCCTCAGAGAGAAACAAAATTTAATTTGCTATAGTTAACGGTAATCACTACTAACAAATTCCCTGAGGAAATGGGAAAACATAAAAGGGTGTCTTTAGAAAAGAAGACCCTGAGCCTTTTTCCAAGGAGAAGGAGGAGGATGGGGCTGGGTTAGCCTATTAACCCTGTGTCATCGCTGTTTGGATGCATTTCCGTGTTGATGGGAAGCCCAGAGAAGCAGTTT